TTTTGGGTTGGAAAAGTGGGGGTCGTCTTGTACATGGGGGTGTCTTATTGATGGAAAAATATGGTATATGACATGCTAAACAGGAACTTGATTTAACTATTCAATACAATGTGTATGTGAAGTAGTGTTGCTTAATATGGATGCATATTTGTGATGGACTGGAATGGAGGAAGGGGGGTGAAAACGGTGCTCTTGTCTCCAGAGCAACGCTCTGGAGATATACGGAGAAAGCTGGCGCAGCTGCCCTAGACATTCCAGAAGATAGTAGAGACTTGTGCCTGGGAACTACTGGTCAGTCTGAGAAGAATCTGTAATCAAGCGCTAGCTAATAAACCTTGCTGATTGAACCTGCACGGTCTCCAGAAGTTCCTTGGGCTAGGCCTGACAATATTAGTCCAAAATATCTGGGAGGACACAGATTGGGAGAGCCAACAAAAAGGAAATCCCAAGTCAAGAAATCCTTTATAAAACAAGGTGTGAAACATCCATGTCTTAAAAGTTGTTATACTGGTGAAACAATATTATGAACTAAAAGCGGAAGCCGTACTGTTGTGTGTTCCTGTTCAGGCAGCCAGTTAAGCCATCTTCCAGGGTAGTGTAACTCAGCCCCATAATCCAACATTTCAGCCTTCCCCCTTGTACTATTATATATTACTTTTATTATTATTAGACTGTAACCCTTTCAATAACTGAAGTTCTCCAGCAGATTACAGAGGTTAGTTAAAAATATTAATTTATAGAAAAGCAATTAAAATGCAATTGAGAAATACCATTAATCAATAATATGGGGGGGATATAAAAGAGCTAAAAGCCACAATCCCAATATAATATAAAACTTAAAATCAAAGTTTAAAAAGTAAACAATAAATTTCCAAAAGCACTAAACTCAGATAAGTAGGTTTATTATAGAAAAGCTGTGAATCCATTATGAAAGAATTCCAGTGATTGCAAGCAATATATACTGAAATCAAGATTCTAAATTCTTGTGTTTCGTTCTCCTCCCCAAGTGATTCAAATGGGCTAGATACCCCTTCTTTGGAACAGGAGGCCTAGTTTCTGTTTGTCTCCTTTCTGATAGTGCATAGATCTGGTATCATGCTGTTTATCACACTCACATCTTATCACTAGATGTGTACAAACAAACAGCCATGAGTCTGTGTTGCTTTAATTTGGATTCCTGCACTGAGTAGGAAGTTGGCCTCAATAGCAAAATCCAATAGTGAAATCCATTGTTTAAGCCTTCTTAAACTGGTTTAACCACCCTACGCCTCAGGGTAAGTGTGTTTACTATCCTTCTGGCTACTTAAGAATTCATGTATGATAATTAGTTGGCTGTTAGTGTATAGGATTTGACTAGAATGACTGTGGAGAGGACAGAACTGTAAGAATGAAAGCTTTTGTGCTGATAATTATATCTGACTAGATTCCTTTTGTTTTTAATCTCACAGATTATAACTACAATAACGATGAGGAAGATTTGCACATACTTCGAGCGAAAGTCACAGAAAAACTAAAGAACTGTGCTTCATGTTTACCTTATTGCTGAAACGTACTTTATACTACTGCAGATGGATTTAGTTTTCTCCACAAAAAAGTTATCCATACATCTTAATTAAAACTAACACTTTCTATTTTTTTTCTATTTACCCTTTATTGTATTTAATTAGGGCACTGACTAATGGAGAAACAGGCTCAATGAATGAAACAGAGCTAATCCTTTTGATTTTAAGATTTAAGTTTGTTTCTTTTACAGTAAATTGCAGCAAATATTTTTTCAAAGCCTTTTTGAATATACTTTTTGAATATACTGTTTGAATATACTTTTTTCAGCATCTGCTTTTTAGCAAAGAAAAATTTAACTGCTAAATTAGCACATAATGCAAAAGGGAAAAGGAACCATCAACTCAAGAATGGTTTACTTGATCTTCTGCCTTATACTGAAGGAAATGCCTTTATTTTGTGCTTCACAGTTTCCCACTGTTGTATTGGTGTCAAAATGTTGTTTTCTTATAAAATACACTTTTCTTAACATTGCAATTCTTTTTCTTCTTTTGTAATGGAGCAGATAATAAGCAGGAGGGATAAAAACCTACTGTGCACTCTAAGAGGAAATCTGCCACTTGTATTCTGAGGCATGAGAATCACTCTGCAGTTCAACGAGGTGGTGAAAGCTAAAATTTTTCCTAAATGATTGTTTTGTATGAGCTTTTACCCTTTCATAGATCACTCAAGTTCCTAAAAATGGCATATGTTGTCATGTACATCACATTAGTAATATATAGGTGTAGTTAAATGTCTACAAAAAAATATTACTGTAATTTCATATCAAGTGATCATATAGTGTTTCTCTTCAGTTCTTCCCTGACATACAAAGTAATCAGTTATGTGATAGCTAAACAAAAGTATATGCCTGGTGAAAAAAGGGGAACTTTATTTTTAATCAGCAATTTCCGAGGTCAGTCACCTCGGCTCACTACAGAAAGTAATTTGATCCTCTTTTACCACATTTGTTTTAAAATATCTTCCTATATGTACTGACTGGTGATTGCTAATTCAGGTCATATCCACATTAATAATTTGCATGGATGTGATGAAATTCTGTATTCATTTGTGCTCTGCTTTTACACAATTGCCACAATTATTTCTGATTAGCATATCTTGATGTTTTCAATCATTTTTCCTTCTCAGTATTTGGTATACATACTTAACTATGTAACGTATGTACTGTAGCTGCTTTCTTCTATAGATTCACTTGGGCTGCAGAGTATTAGAATTGCAGATATCAGAGGACCCTTGTATTTGCTACAAGTGGTCTAACACAGCTGTCCCTCTGAAACTTCATTTCAGTTTTGCTGCAAGATGTATTATGTAACTTAGAGCTGTGCAGCCTGTTTCTATCCATGTTGACTTAAAAGCGCATCTTCTACTTTGTCAATGAAGCAGTGGGACATCATCTCTTTTTCCCCTTTTTCAGGCAAAATGTGGTGTCAAAGATGATTAAATTAATTACAGAGAAATTTGACACAATTGTGCTGTCGTTTTACATTTGGAGTCTGGAAGCACAAAAATAAACAAAAAATGATGGGGATTCTATGTGACACTGTCAGGATTAGGTCAGCATCTACATAGAAAGAAAATACAATCTGCCCCAAATGCTTAGATTTCTTTCACACATGTAATGAACAGTTTCTCATACTCCTAACATATAAATATCAGAAAATTAAGACAAAAGTTCCTCTGCCTTTGTTGAATGTTTGGCTTGACAGGAGTGTGCTAGGCCATACAATCCCCATTACAATTGCATTTCTGCACAGGTTTTGTTATATTTGTTTTCCATTTCTCCTATTTGTTTTCTATTTCTCCTCTAGTATTATTCCATTAGTATTATTATTCAGTTAAATTGCTTAAGAACTTAATCTAAACACTGTTTGACATTAACAGTGCCAGTCCTGCACCTACAAGGTAATCAGGTATGTAAACTTAAACTGAGTTACGTTTTCTCGCATTTTCTGTGTAACACTGTCTCTGTGGCAAATTTTTAAGGGCCCTGCTATAAGGCCTGGTGTGATCAATTTTAAGGGAAAAAAATGGGATATATTTCTACTGTCATTAAAAAACTGTCTTGAAGCATTGATTCAACCTTATATTTGCCTGACATTCTGCTAGGCATATTAATTTGTCTACCTAGGACAAATTGCAATTTATGTAGGCCAGAGAAACCTAAATTGCAGTCAGCTGGAATTTTTTTTTAAGATATATCAATAATATAAGATCTGCTTCAAAAGACAAAATGGAAAATACATCTGGCGTGTATGTCAATAAAGGACATATACTTGCAAGTTGGTGGGATACAGGCAACAGTACGTTAGCTTGCAAAGTAATCTCAAGATTAGTAATCCTAGTTTACAATGATGTGAGCATGCTTGGAGTAAAACTGGTCTTTGACTGTGCTTCTGATCTACTGGCCAAAGTGTGGCAAAACTGGCTGGTGTTATCCTTAAAATTAGGAAGGAATGCAAGGTATAACTATAGTTAGTAACCTGGTGTTAGTAACCTTTTAAATCTTGCTAAAATGTATTATGTGATACTCTGATTTGAGCAAAGTCAAGCTGATGATCTTATCTGGTGATCACTATGACATATGAAAAATTGTGATTTGGAATGTATGAAGAGTTAATATAAGGAGCTTGCATTAAACAAAGGAAGGAAAGTTTCCTTTGTGAAACTAAGAAAAAGAAAAAGGGCATAGTAGATCTGAATGCATGTGGCCTGATCTGGTGCATGCAGGGAAGTGAAGGTATAGATTTAATTATGAGAGAAGAGGATATATATACATACATACATACACACACACACACAAATATTAATTGTTATCCTCTAAGCTGTAGGTGTATATGACAGTAGGAATTCATAGGTTGTTACTACTTGAATGTTATGCTCCAAGGAATGTTGATAATGGAAGCACCAGATACTGCAACATTCTGAATCAATATAGTCTGGGAGAAAATTTATTCTGTTAGGTGACTTGAATGAATGAATGGGAAAGAGGTGATAGAGTACAGAAAAAAATATTGGGCCATTTGGAGACCCAAGAATTAATAAGAATGGTGAATGTGGTTAAGCATCTGCTTAGAAGAAGGTCAATTTCAAATACATGGTTTAAGCATAAGGCTGTGTGTATATATGGAAAGGAATAAGGAATAAATAAGAATGATTGATTTGGTAGTTTATAATGAGAGACTGTAAGAATTAGTGAAGGATACGGGGGGGGCAGTGACAAAATGTGAATGTGGAACAGACATTGTGAAGAGTAATCTTGGGAGAAAAAGAAGTGATAGTATCTGAAGTGAAAGCAAAATGACTGAAGAAAGTATGTATCATGTATGAAAAAGTAGTTGCCAAGAAGATTTATTAAAAAGGAAGTCCTAAATGCTGTGAGAATGTTGAAAACTAATAAGCATGCAGGTATAGCTGGAGAAATGTTAATACAGTGGTACCTCGGGTCACGAACTTAATTTGTTCTACGACTCTGGTCACGACCTGAATCAAATTTTCCTGTAAGTTCAATGTAAATACGGTTAATCCGTTCTGAACCATATGTATTTTTTTTTTAAACCACAAAAATATGAAACAAAGTATGTATTTTTTTTTTAAACCACAAAAATATGAAACAAAGTATGTATTTTTTTTTTAAACCACAAAAATATGAAACAAAGTACAGTACAGTATGAAGAGAGAACGCTAACCTTGCTTGAGGCGACTTCTGGCATGGAGGACAGGAAGGCGGGTGGGGAGGCGGTTATTGTTTGGAGAGAGAGTCCCCCTCGCCTACAGGAAGCGACGACCATGTGTCACAGCAGGGAAAATGGCCGCGGGTCGTGTTCGTCACCCGATGCGGAGTTCGCGGACGGAAGCAAAATTTTGCGAACGGTGCTGTTTGTGAACCGAATTGTTCGTGAACAGAAGCGTTCGTGAACCGAGGTACCACTGTATATGGATATACTTTGCTTAGGAAGTGGTTGTGTGTGATGTCTTCATCTGTGCTACTGGAAGAATACCATTATTGTTTTCTTATATAAAGGGAAAAGTAGCACAAGTGATACAAGTACAGGGGGATTACTTTACTAAATGTGTCTGGGAAATTGTTTGACAGAATTCTGATTGGAAGGGTATGAGAGGTAAGCAAAAGGAGGGAGGTAAAGTTTTATGTCAGATAAGAGATGTGCAGACCAGGTTTTTGGTCTTTAGATGGTCACTGAGAAATATACAAATATTTTATTGTCTGTCTGTGAGTCAGAGAAAATGTATTCTAACTTTAATAGGACTTAATTCTGGAATGTTTTGCATGAACATGGAGTTGGTTGGTTGCTGAATGCAATAAGAATGGGATATGATTGAAGTAAAGTATGCAGGAATGTTAATAAAATGCTTAGTGAATAGCTTAATATTGAGGAGAGAATAAGGATTGTGATGTCCTCTTGTTTTAATGTATTTATGGATAAATGTACAAGGAATGCTTGTAGTAATGTTAGGGATGTTAGCTTGGGACATGAATATATGTATGCTTTTTTATGTAGATGATACATAAAATGTACTTTTTTATGCAGATAATACCATGGCTGAGAATCTGAATGATTTGCAGTGAATATTACATTTTATGATACAAGAATGAGAAGCATGGATCTGAAAATTAATGTATCAAAGACCAAGCTCATTATATTTGAAAGAGATGGTGGATAGTATATGGTCTTTTGTAAGGAATAAATGTTGAAAGTGCAAATGGCTGTGTATGAGTAATGTTTGGAAGTAAGGGTTAGATATGTTGGGGAAACAAAAGTAGGGAATGAATCACAAAACAAATACGTGAAGAAAAATCAGTAGGATGAATGAAAGAGAACATTGAGAGTCATCATTGGAGTTGATGAGCTCATCAAAAGAAAGGTGAGAAGTTGAAAGAAGCTGCAATGTACAGTATGTGTGAATTAAGTTTATGGATCTAGTGGAAGCAAAGATAATTCATAAGCATGGAAAGATATGACTGGCATTGGTGTTAGCTATATTTCCTTTCCTTTTTCTTATCTCATGCTTTTCATTTCTTTTTTCTGCTGTTTCTTACTCATTTTCTGTGTTTCACATAATGTTGCTTATTCTCAAACGGAACAGAATAATGGATATGTTAAAGTTTGCAACATAAAACCAAGCTCTCAGAAATGTTCATTATGAGAGATAAAAACATTTTTTGCAGATCAATATTGTCTTTAAACAATAATTTATGTCATAAGAACAGCAGAGAACTGCAACATTGCATCAAAGTTTCATGAAATGTCTAAACTAATTAATTTAAAAATGCCATCAGTATTCATTCACTACTTCAGAGTACTGAAAATGTTAATGTTAATTTTTTGTTAACCAAAATTTCCTTGCATATGTTCTCTAGAATTCGCTTATCAACTTGATAAGTAAGTAGTAACAATAGAAGAAAATATATGTAGCTCAGGGCTGAACTGTGGAG